TGTTTTTCTTAATTACGCGATAATAATTACGAATTTTGTAAAATGGTATATAACTTTTCTTCTCAGCTTTACCCAATCTACTATAATCTTTGGAGTCGTCCAAATCGAATCTGACACCCTGTATAAAAGCGTATATAAGAGGAAGCCCATCGTGAGTTGCTTCGAGCGGAATCGAACATAATTTTATCGGGCAAAACTAGCTATCGCTTCTTGATCGTTGCACAACCGCAGTATCACCGTGAGAGATACAAAGGGAGAGAAAATGTCGGAAAGCTAGCTTAGGTTCTACAATTTAATTAAGTATTGAAAGGAGTCTTCTGAATGGAGAAAGACGTGGAAATCCGCGTTCGCTTTTAAACAGTATTCATATTCCCTGATGTAAATATTCCCAGAAATCGTGCGAACGAACCTGCTCCCGTCCCCATTTACGGAACTTCCTTCAACATTCATTATTATGCAAACTTAAAGATCCATCTTGATTTTCAAGATTTCATATCTGTGGAGTAGAATCTAGGCGTATATCTTCAGCGGGGCTGCCGCTAAGACGTGGTGATTCTTTGAGCGAGAAAGAATATCGGGCGAGGAGACCGGGGAACCTCTTTCACTTGCTTTGAGCGAGTGAACTGCTCTTCCAACTGAGTTATCCAGGTCTACACTCGGACACCCTTCCTCGCTTCCCTATTTTTTATCTCATGATAAAGCAGGAAATAATGCGCTAGCAATGGGACTCCAGAGCGATTGGAGTCTCGCTTGATGGATTGTATTTTCTAAAGGCACCAAACGATGCAGAGAGGGAGACATTCTAGAAAATACACAAAATTCCCTACTGTTAAATTCCGCCAATCAGGTTGTCCTCGGGATGGACGAGCCTCCAACCGAATATGAACTTTTAGAAACCCTTTTAGGAGGATTCTATAACGTTAAGGATTCACACCGTCTCCGAAATTAGATGTCATGATTAACAGATCCCGAAATAAAGTTTCGAAAGCCAAGATGCTATCGAAGATCCGTGAATTCCCCGAGTCCCCTCGCGAGAATTAAGTAACAGTTCGGCAGATTTCACCGGAGCTATGCGAGGAAAACGAGTGAAAACCATCTAAGAGCTACGGCCTACGGCATGTCGACATCTTTTTTTTATTCTCAAACGACGTAAACGTCGCTAATGAGAAATGAGAGCCTTTTCCGAGGTACCCACGTGCCTTCTCGAGTTTGTTCATGGTGCGTTAACTCGAGCACCGCTTCAGGCCTAGTTAGACTTGATTCGAGCGGAAGAGAAGTGGTACCGATCCCATGATAAAAAGTCGAGCGTTGATCCATTTCGATAAAAGTAGCTCTAGTTTCCAAAAGGAAAAAGAAATAACACTACTTCAAAACGTGAAATCAGATACTTGTAGCCGATAGATTGCTAACATTCACGTGCAGCTGCTATGCTAGAGAAGCGTCACACGAGGGTACAAATAGTTTTGTCGTAACGTCGCAAAAGTTTTCATCGGTCGCTGCACTTCCATCAGTTCCGTAGCGTGTACAAAATACAAGATGGTGATGGTGTCTACACACAGCAAGCCGGGATATAAATATCTCTCGGCCAGGCAATCTCCGAGAGCAGCGCCGTAGCTTTTCAGCACGTTGCTCCCGTAACGCATAAACGTCGATATAATTTATTCAACCTGTCGTTTTAGTGATCTCAACGACTCACATCCTTCCCTTATCAGTGACCCGAATACGAACCCTTCTCTCTCTCTTTCTCTCTCCCCTGTCGTCTCTTCTAGCTGGGCTCTCACGCCTTAATTAGCCGCGCATGGCTAATAATCCGCCCACATTCGATGGATATTATTACTTTATAAATAACAGAACGGATGTACGGTTTCGAAATTATCGAGTGCGTTAAAATAAATTTCTCATGAGACGATTACGGAATAATGCGCGATAAAATAAAATTAAGCCTGTTAAATAACCTGCTTGGTGTTTTGTATTGGTGAAGGGACGTCCGGCGATTTGTATTTTGTTAAGACACTGCGGCTTCAGCGTAATCTCGAGAGGCGAGGAATGACATTTCGCGGATAGAAGATGGAATCCTAGATACACGTGTCTCGCGATTGCAAAATCGCCGCACGTCGCGGCATTAGCATAAGCTCTTTGTTCTCGGCGACGATGCCCAAGTCGGATTGCGCCGTTCGATCGCTCGATATCGTCCCCCGGCCCTAATGCGTCGGTATGCGCTTCTCCTTGGTGAACCACACTGAACACGACTAAAATGTCGACGCGGACATTCCCCGCGGACCGTCTCGCATTTTACGGAGCGACGACGTAAATGACGGCGCGAGAGACGAAGATAGAAAAATAGCGCGAATAAAAGCAGGCGGCTGATTATTCGTACCGGTTTTGCTTTATTGTTTCGCAACTCTCAGTATTATTTTCGACGTTAAATATTATCCGTTTCTAGGGAAATTTCTTGAGGAGGGGGAAAACGACAGCCCTGTAAATTAAATGTTGCGTGCGCGAGGCAAGGAGAGGCGGACGATAATCTCGGGAGGGTATCTGTCAAAGTCGCAGAATATCGCATCGATTTGTGCGCAGGGGGTAGTGACCTTGCGTTTCTTGCGTACACGAACTTGTTTTACGCGTGACCATATGGTCGACATGTGCATTCTCTGCTCTAACAGCCGCACGTGTGCACCAGGATGCAGCGGCGAACGGGCGTGAATAATCGGGCGGAATCAGCGCAGCCGTCTTAGTCATTGTCACTTGTCGTTCACCACTGACTGGCGAATTTAAAACGGATCGCGCAATTGTCCAGTTTACTACAAGTCGCTGGGAAACTCCTGCTGCGACAATTTCTTGGACGTGTCTATAAAAACGCAAGCAAACGCGCGAGACCATGAGCGGACTCGCGCGCGATTCTCGTAAGAAAAATATTTCTTCTTCATCAGGACCTTTAAGCTGGGAGCACACGCTCTTGCATAAGTGTACCAGCATACGCATAAAGAAATCGATTGGTCCATAAGCAAATGCACAAGGAAATGGACCAATTGGCCCATGGTCTTTTTCCTTGTGCGTTTGCTTATGGACCAATCGATTTCTTTTGCAACTTTTTCAGAATATACTTTGTCGATGGACACAAAGCGCGAAGGTCCGTTTAAACAGTAAAGTAGACATAGACAGTCCTCCATTTTTACAGAGTATAATCCGTACCTTCCCCGCTGAAGCTGGGGGCAAACACTTTTGCATAAGTGCATAAGCATATGCATAAAGAAATAGATTGGTTCAGAAGCAAATGCACAAGGAAATGGACCAATCAAATTATAGGCTTAAGGAATTTGATTGATCCATTTCCTTGTGCATTTGCTTATGGATCAATCGATTTCTTTATGCATTGCTTATGCACTTATGCAAAAGTGTTTGCCCCCAGCTTCAGCGGGAAGGTACGGATTATACTCTGTAAAAATGGAGGACTCTCGACTTTACTGTTTAAACGGATCCTCGCGCTTTGTGTCCATTGACAAAGTACATTCTGAAACACGATTTGAAACACGAGACCTCGCACGAAACTCGCGATGGATCATCTTATCGAATTTATTCCTTATTTCGAGATCCTGGGCGAGCGCCGGCGTGGAATTCGCTTATTCGACGCTTGGAGCGACGGTATCGCGATATATCGTCGCTGCAGATTGCAGTCGCGATTGAATGCAACTCGCGAAATAAATGCAACGCGGACGACCGGCCGACACTGTTGCTTGAGGAGCAACCGCGGCAACGTAAGTCTTTCCGGTTTCTACTCGCCGAGTAATGGTGGTAGTAAATAGCAGCGGCGAGTACTCGTAATCCGCGCTGCGGCGTAGTAGTGACCTTTCAGCCTCGGGGATACTGCCTACCTTATGCAAGCCTACCGCATGCGGCAGCGTGTCTTGCGGTTTCATTCACAACGAGACGCACGCGAGAAATCTCGCCGCACTCGGTTCCTGTTAGCACGAATGCTTAAGCTTAACAGGCCGATACTTATCCGAGCGCCACAAGCACTGGCTTGCATTAAATTAGCGAGCGAGCAGGAAGCGTTTAAACGCGCACGCCGATACGTCGCGATAATAAATTGATGCGCGGAGATAAAGCGCCCAGTTTTCCAGAAATATCAGCGACACCATCGAGATACTTCAAACTTACTTTAATTTAAAGTGAATGCTGATTATAAATTTTAATTACAATTTATGTACGTCCACACGTTGCTTTGCAAGCGGATAACTGCGACTTTCTAACTGCACAACTAACTGCAAGACACGTGAATTCAGTGATAAATTAGATAATCGCAATTACGCAACTGCAACCCGCTGCCTGGGCGTCTCTCGTATTTTCACATCGAACGTATGTGTAATCCGGAAATTGTCTTTTTCGCGCGATATTACCTCGGTGTGTCGTTAAGTGTTTCGCAACGCTGACAAATTCGTTGCGCGATTATATTATTATGGCTCTCTTGACTCAACGGCCGCGAAATGGATCGTGTATTATTAATCTCCCTCCGTCTGGTTTGTGTTCGCCGGCTAAATAACTGCTCGACTGCGTGGGAGAGCTTAATGAAATACAGATATACCGGCGTGACAAAGGCTAAAGACTATGGTGACTCATGCCCATATGGTCGATCGAGCTGCTCCATACAATTCGCCTGAAAATCGATTGTGGAATTAATTTAATATTTCACATCTTATGCTACGTTACAAATAGTATAACAATTTCATGAATGGTATACAAACTTTGATAAATTATCTGAGCCGTCCTACACAACTCGCTTGAAGACCGACCGTGGAATTGACATCTTCAGTGTCTCACTTGTGAGATTTAGAAATACTGTAACAATTTTTTTAAAAGACGGTACATGGATTCACTTAGTAATTTAATTGGCCACCTCCACCTGCGCCAGGTCCTAAATGGCTTTTACGTTTTCAAATTGATTTACATCTTAAAAGGACCTGGTTAAAATTTAGTTTACAATTTTTTAAGTCGATTACGATCGGCTTGCAGATTTTTGTCGAGTATTATTTGAGATGGCGAGTGTGGCGCAGAGAAATGTGCGCTGCTTAGTGGACAAATGAGCGAAAAGACCCGAGTTCAAATCCACGGATTTTTTCGGAATCTCACGAAGGGAAGTGGCGACCACCCGAGAGTATCTTGCCACGCGTACACCCCTTCAGGGGTATAGCCACTGCAGATGGGAGGTTTCCTTCGGCAAGGTTAGCAGCCTACCGAAGATGAAGTAAAACCAAATGCTCAGAGTGCCAGAAAGAACTGGATAAAACGGGCTTTAAGTCTAATACACGAGGAAGAAGAGGATTATTATTTGAGATGCCCTATGAAATTGATCTGAGGACCAACCGTGGAATTTAATATTTCCTTAATATTTCACTTATCGTGAGATGTTGTAAACAATATAACAATTTTTTATCTTGTGAATTTTTAACTTTACAACGTTTTGCTTAATTTTTACAAGCGAATTATTGTTACGAATGAAGGCTCACGTATAAGATGCGTAATTTTTATAATATCAAGATCGAGCGTAACTTCTTTGTGATCGGTGAGATAAGATGAAGTTTGACGGAAGCTAATAATGAGCCGCGGAATATAGGTGGGTCGTGTTTTCTGGCTACCTTTAAAAGGATATTATTAGCCACGTCGGAGGTTTTTCATGGTTCTCCTCGCAGGTGCAACATCCGGCGGGTAGCTCCATTCGCTCGTTTTACGCCGGCTAATTGCTAATTAGGGGGTACAATAGCGGTACGCATGTTTGCCGCGACTTCGCCGCTGTCATCACCGTCGAACTCGTCACGTTTGGTCACGGTCGTATTCTTGACCCTGATAGACTATTCAAACCGTGTTTGTTGGGCGGCCTTTATGTCGGCATTGCTTGCTGCATTACTTTGTTGTTCTGAAAGTAGAGCTCGCTTTGATTTTACAAAGCCGGGAAAGCTGCACAAACTGAAAACTATTATACATATTGCTATGAAACTGTTACGTAAATGAGACTTAAATTCACATGAAAGCGATGCGTCGTGTAGCACTTGCTGCAGCTACAACAAATAAGCCTTAAATTCTTTAACAATCGATAAAAGTTGAATTGATGCGGCTGTCAAATTCTTATTTTTTTTCCGCGAGCGTAATCGCGAGGTTATTTATCGGCAGCGATGCCGCGCGCTAGTAAAAATCGCGTTTATCATGTTACTCACGCAGACCGCGACCGGAAAAAGTACGGCGACCGATATAGCCACCTTGCCGCTAATGGCAGTCAGCCGCGCGCGATAAGATATTATCGTTATCACTCGTGACGGTTCGCGATTGCGTAATGCGCGTATACCGTTGCGTACGTACGCGAGTGTTTGCTGCGACGGGCAACTAAACTGAGACTCGCCATCGGGATAAGAGAAAGAGCTATAAGAATTGATAGGAAACTTGCCGAATTCAGCCTTCCACGTATTTATAATCAAATCCGAGATTTGCACAATTCTCGCAATTCATCTCACTCGACCCTACATCCCGCTATTTGCATGCCGCGGGATGTAGCAGAGTGTCTGGATCAAAGGAACGTCTCCGGATGAATCAAACATCTCGTTAAGGGCTTTGCCCTCGGAATTTAAAACCACGAGTACCTCTCTCGTCAAGCACTCGCCTCGATAATTATTCGCGAAATCGCGTCTCGAGTAATTCGAATCTACGCGCGATGAACCTTCATTCTCAAACGACGTTGTTGCGAATAGAACTTTGTTTAATTGTTACGAAACTAATCGATACCTTTAATACGAAGATTGCAATCGTATTTTTTGGAGCATTCATTACTTTTGAAAATGCTATTTTATCTATGGTATCTCTTGCGGAATATTTTTTATATCACATTTATAAATTTGAAGGAATAAAGGACTAACAGCCATCACAGGATGTTAGTGTCTAAATATTTTATTCTAAATTTATTGCGAAAAGATATCACCTCAGCCAGGGTTTGAATCGGGACTTCCCTCTGGCTAGGCGGGCGTCTCAACCAATTCGACCACCGAGACACATTTATAAAGTTGCTTCTAAGCGACATATGTAATCTCTATCGAAGTACGTTTGGGCTTTGACCTAGCAATTCATCTCTGATGACGGCCCCGGATGGTTTCAGGTCTCGAGAGAGCGGTGAGTGAGTTACCGCGAAGAGGAGCCAGGAGGAATAAGCAGCCGGCAAGCCGAAGATGCCGCTTCCAAAGCGACTGGTGGAGCCCGTGCACGTGGCACGCGGCACCATCCCTGATGACTTCCCGCTGCCATCGGAACTCGAGGCGGCCACCAATGGCACCCTGGCCAACACGATCAGGCAACTCTCTAGCCTGTCGAGGCACGCCGAGGATCTGTTCGGCGAGCTGGCGAGAGAAGCGCACGGGTTGAGCGATCGAGCGAATTCCCTGCAGGCTAGGATAGATCGTTTGGCCGTCAAGGTCACCCAGTTGGACAGCAATGTTGAGGAAGGTACGTGACACCCGTTTCAAATCGCTCGCGCGACACCGATGATATGAAATAATTGAATCGAGAAAGAAATATGACAAAGGTCTAAATAATGTTAAGATTCTTTCATTTTCTGCGCAGTCTCGTTGCAAGATATACACATGAGGAAAGCCTTCAAGAGTTCCGTGGTGTTCGACCAGCAAGTCGTCTCCAGGGACACCATGCCGACGGCGATGCTGGAAACGTATCACCAATGCGACACGCCGCCGCCCCTGGACAAGCTTAATATTTACAGGTAATTAGCGGCGTCGATTAATTCAACGTCAATTCAAGTAGGTTAATTTGAAGATGACCGGGGGTGTTGATTATTGCCTTGACTTCAGGGAGGATGGCAAGGACGGCTTGAAGTTCTACACCGACCCGAATTACTTCTTCGACCTGTGGAGTCAGGAAATGCTCAAGGACACGGAAAAGAAATTACACGATCGAGGGAAGAAGGTAGGAATCCTCGCAGGATAGTACATTCGAAGCCGCACCTCGATAACTATCGTATTATCTGTAACTGTACTATCGTATTCCAAATGCAATCGATTGCGAATCAGTCAAATCTAATTCTTTGATCGTCAAAGTTATCGAGATGCGCGATTTCGTAGACCGAACTATTTCTTATGATAATTTAACGTGTCTAATGCTGCGAATTCTAACTACTGAATTACTGTCCCCTTCGTTGTAGAGCGAGTCTGAATATGCCGAACCGTTCAGAGAGGCAAGTCGATGGTTTGGATCTTTGTAGTTTCTTTTTAATCTCTCTTATCCCTCCTACGAAACATCCAATAGTGTCTCAGTGAATCGATCGACCGTCACCAGCCACTTCACTCTCATCGCATAATCACCCTCTCTGTGGTTTTTCTTTCATTAACCGACCTTTTTGCGCGCTGATATAGAGACTGACGCTAGATGCTCGCTTTCTCGAAGTTCTGTAGTTGTGCTAATAGCCACGTTTTCTCAGTGGCGATATACTTTGCGTAGATCGAATGCGAACGGACTTCTTTGTCCATGTCTAAGTGTGTCTCGACCTTCTCGACGCCGAGGTCGGGAAGGAAGAGCGCAAAAGTTCCATCTACGCAGGGCCTGATCTTGACTCGAAGCCCTTCCTACCCTTTCCGTAAACTGAGTTGTGTTTTTTGATACTCGAAACAAATCTGTCACACCTACCGTCACTTTGTGGATCACTTGTGTAATGCCGTTCTTTGCAATTTTCATGCAAGTTTTGAATGTACTTTATAGAACTGCGTTATATTCATCATCCACCGATTCATCTTCGACCGACACCGGTATCCTCACGATCTCGATCGTTTCTCATCGTCCATGTCAGGATTCTCATCTCCACTTTGCCATGTTTGTCGTATAGAAAATAAAAGTGCTGTCGTCAACAGAAAGACTAAATATTTTTCTTTCTTCTCACGACAATAGATTCTTGCTGCGGAATTCGAAAGTGATAATTTTGTCATATGCGACTCCACTTTTATTTTCTACATATATACATTCATACCCCACTCGACTATTGATCCAGTAAACTCTGATTTAGAAACAATAGCATTGCTTTGAAACAATTTTAAGATAATACACTTTCTTTTCCAAATACAATCCTGGGCAAAATTTACCAAAACAACGCTCTCAGTCGCTGGACCAATCGTCGGGACACGTTTTTGACTTAAACCGATTGTGCTTGACTTACATGAGATGCACCTTGTTCGTTGTCTTCTTCGTGTATGCATTTTAAAGTGCTTTCTTTTCCGCGAAACAGCCGCACAGGCCTCGGAATGAGGGTGGCGGCGGAGGTGGCGGCAGGCATAAGAAACGTGTGAGGCAGCCGCATAATACGAGGGAACGACAACGGCAACTGGCTGTCGGCCATGGGGAGTATATCATGCCGACACAGGCGGTGCAGTACAGGGCGCCGCATAATGTGCAGCCTGACGATGCGTTACTAGGAATGGTAATGACGGATCCCAGGCCGCCCAGACCCAACAGCATCGAACTGCGACGAAGCTACCCCCCAGAAGAACAGCATCTCTACAGCCCGCCGTCTTCCGATCACTACAGGTGAAGATATCACGACGACATAGCTGACAATAATATAATACAATTGATAATTCCAAAATACTAATAGTACATTAATAGTCTGAACAATCTTTTTAATCCGCTTCTACTTTACTCTTCTCATGCTAAGGACTCTTTGGATTCGTCCACGTTGTTGAATCTACAGGCGCACGTCTTTACATATAATTAATGATTTTTCTCTCACTGCAGGGGGAACTATATGACTCAGGGCTACGACGAGAATCCATATTCACATTACGCGGGTCAGGCGCCGCCCGGCAGCGATGCGTATCAAAGTCCCGGCGGTCAGAGCACCCCGAGTCGGGGCGGCAGGTCACGACCGTCGCAGCCACCACCGGCTCCGCCGAGCAACGCTTCCAGCAATTCCACGCCCACAGTGGCATCCGCCAACAATACTCCTACCAGGGGAAGATCCATGAGCACCGGCAGGGACACCCTGCCGCCGCCGCCACCACCACCAGGGGAAACCATGTCTCCTCCTTCCATGAACGGTATGTTAGTTATGTTAATTACCATCACTTACAGTGATCGTAGTTGAGTAAGTCTTTGTAAAAGGTAAGAAGACGTGATAATTTATCTTGCACGATGCTCGTTAATATTTCAGGTTCCATACCGCCGCACTTGCTGAACAGGAGCGGAAGTCGGTCAGACAGTCCTCTACCAAGCCAACGTTCGACGCCGACGCCGCCGAATCACGCAGGCCAGTTGGGTGCGGACGAGATAGATCCAGCACCCCAGGATCTTCCGCCACCCCCGCCCACCCCAGACCCCATCCCGCCAAGACCTATTTCACCTCCGTGCAACATCCCGCCGCCTCCACCACCGCCGCCTCCTCCGCCGGTCCTCAACGGACCCACGGCACCGTTACCGTTGACAAACGGCGATATCGCGAAGATGATAGCGACCAATCCGCCGAAGCTAAAGCCCCTGAAAAGCATTGTAGATGGCCAGCTAAGGAAACCCGTCAACCCGAATATTCCATTGGTCGACCCGCGAAACGACTTGCTCAAAGCGATTCGCGACGGTAAATTTATACCCATATTTTTAGATTTTTTTTTTATTAAGTCAAGAAGGAATAAAACACTTTTGGATCTTGTAAAATCTTCAATACTGACACTATGTCAGGAAAAATTACACTGTTTTATCCCAGGCAATTGTCTTTCAGGCATAAAACTGCGCAAGGTAGAGAAGATCGAGCAAAAAGAGGTGGAGCGCGTGAACGCGCTCAACGACGTCGCATCCATCCTGGCGCGTCGCGTCGCCGTCGAGTTCAGCGACAGTGATTCGGCATCGGAGAGCGAGTGCGACAGCGAAGGCTGGGGCGAGCAGGAGAGCAATCTGGCGTGACCCAACTCTCTGTCATCCGCCGTTACTGCCGTCTAGGGAAACGGCTGACGATTCGTTTCGATGCTCTGACGCCACTCCTAAGGTTCCTCGGTGTTATAACGAGCCGATTTTGTTTCTCGTTTCATGTCTCCGCGGCCGATATTTCACTTCCGAGGAATCGCGAAACGCTCGCGCGCTTTAAACACTGTATATTCAGAATTCTAAATTTTCAGGACTGAACCGAAGTAAATTCTGAATTATAGAAGCAATTCTGCACGATCCTCTCAACGGAGATCATTCGTTATGGAGAGTACACGGATATGATTTAAATTTATCATCGCTTGTCGACGAATAAAGACAATGTGAATTTCATTGTTCCTTCTTTTTATCGCGTTATTAATTCGGGAAAAATTTAAGTGATATTGCATGTTATTGCCCTATTAATCTTCTGTGTTAAGAAATTTATTTTGTGAAAAGACACAATGATACCTTTCAAAAACAGTGAAAGAGTGTTAACTTTCTGTAAAAAAAAAAAGAATTTTTGGAAAGACATCTTTGACTGGCGATTCCATGCTTGATGATTAATCACGATGTCGTCCTTTTGTCTTGCAAGTCAAGCCGCAATATTGAATTGATTGGTCAGTCGACAAAGCAATAGCACCGTTTACTTTAATCGCTCTGCTCTTAGGATGTCCTCGAGAATCCGCTAATTGCGGCTAATTTAATCGCAAATGTAGTTTAGCCGAATCGCGATTCGAATTTTGAGTGCAGCGAACGGAGCACTCGTGAGCTCGTAAAAAAAACACACACAATGCGAAGATCACGTACTAGTTAATAGTGTAACTCGTAGATCCAGGTTATACGTCCTGGAACGGCAGGAAAATCCTGAAGAGGCGGCTGACAGGTTGAACGCCATATTTATATAGTCTCTTTATTATAGTCTCTTTATACTGCGCTTTAAATTAAAATACCTTCCGCATATGTCCGGCCCTGTCAGAGATCACAGTTTAGATATCGATATTGCGAATATTGATAAAAATATAATACCTA